TCGACCTCTGTGCTGGACGCAACTCCCCCTTTCTAGGGTGCAGGGGATCCAGAGGGCCTGGGAGAGCCTTTGGGGGACCCCCACACAGTCCTCTGTCCTTCTCCCAGGTCCCTCCCTCCAGGACCCTGCACCAAGAGTCCTCCTGGCCCTGAGGCCCCAGAGCTCCCCCAGTTTTTCAGCTCCTAGCTACTGTCCACGGGATCCCCTCCAAACCTCTCTCCCCCATGGGTGCCCACTCTGCTAGACGTCCTGACCCCAGTGCTTGACCCTGGGGTGGGGAGGCAAGTTAGGGTGTAGTTGGGTGTATCTGAAGGAAGGGGGGCCTTGGAAATCTGCAAGGAGGGACCTCATAGACCAGTGTGGGACCCCTACCTGCAGTGCGGTGAGGTCCACAGGACGGGACACTGCACCTGTGACAAACAACTGTGCAATTGTCCAGGGACCCACTCCCACCAGGATTGCCTCCAGAGACCCTGAATGACCCTCAGGGGCACGGAGGCCGAGGGCTGCCTCCTCTGCCCAGGGATGCTGGGAGGCTGCAGTCCCAGCCACGCCGGAGCTGTGGGAGGAGCGGCAGGGGGCTTCCTCTCGCCTCCTCCCTATTCTTTCCCTGCATTGTTCCCACCCCACCCCACCCCATCCCTGCCTCCTGGGGCGGCTGTTCCCAGGCTTTGGGGGTGAGGGGCGCCGCAGGACGAGAGGCAAAGAGCCCCGTGCACTTGGGTGTGCCAACGCCATACATGAGTGCACACGTGGGAGCAAGCCTGTGATCACAGGCGTGCGGCACGTGGGGCGGTGTTTGTGCCACCGCGCACACAGCTGGCGCGCCATGAATGCCTATTGGATGGCTCCACGGTGTGGAAGGGCAGAGTTCAGGTCTTACAGGGAGGGCCCGCGGTGGAGCTTCGGGTTTGACTCTCCTTTCTCCCACTGACTGGCCATGGCAACTCAGCAGGCGTGACTGTTTCCCCATCCATAAAGGAAAAGCCGAATGGTCCTCCCACGCGGCGAGGTGAAACCGGAGCGTGCACAGAGCTCACGGCACGGCGCGCTGTCGCGGGAACCTCGCTGCACCTTCCTCCACCGCACCCTCTACCGGGCACTCCGGGGGAGGAGCGGGCAGTGACCCAGGCCCTCCCCAGCAGGACTCCCGGCTTCCCGGTTCCTTAAACTGGATAATTGGAGACAGAGGCGGTTGCGAGAGAGAGAGATCCCCAGTCGGCGAAATGCAGGGTCTTGTCCCCTAGGTTCCCCACCTTAGGAGCCCCCCCGACTCTCACCAGCGCTTCCTCTGGCGCGCCCTGGGCGCACAGCGTGTGCGCTCCGAGACCCCAGCACCAGCTGCTGACCCCCTCCCGTGCTGGGCTGTGCCAGCCTCCCTCTGGTGCCCGCCAGGCGCGGTGTCTGCGGCCGCCCCGCCGTGAGGCAGGGTGGGGGGGTCCGCGCCGGCGGCGGCCCCGGCGGCGTCTCCCTCCCCCAGCCCCTGGCGGCGGGCGGCCTGGCCGAAGGCGGGGCGTCTGCACAGACCCTCCTTTTGTGAGCGGCGCCTTCCCCGGGCGGCCTGGCGCGCAGGGCCCGGGCACGGCGCCAGCGCCCGGAATAGCCTCCCTGCCCCGCCGCCCGCCCAACGCCCCGGCGGAGCCGCCTGACCTGCCCGGCCAGGCGCGGGGGGAGACCGCGGCCCCGCGGCGCAGAGCCCGGGTTCGTGCTCAGCTGCATGGTGCTGCGGCCGCCACCTAGAACCTACTGTGCGCAATGCCTATCCTGTGTACTAACGCCCGCTGTGTGCAGACCCCTGAAGGCGTGCAGGGCCCACTGTGCACAGTCCCTTTCTAGCATGCAAGGCCTATGGGATGCAAACACCCACGTACTTCATGCAACACCTACTGTGTGCTAGCATCCACCTGTAAACAAACTCCCGCAGAGAGCAGATGCCCTCAGGCATGCAAACACCTAGTGTGCCCAGACCCTGACATTAGACTCTCAAATGACTCTAAGGGAGACGCCCTGTACTTTCAAACAGCTTCCCCCCTCTCTGCAGGCTCACGTGGGTAAAGCCCTTGATGCACGCGCACCTGCATTCTGACCTAGTCCAACAGCACACATTTCTAAGTTCAATGCTTATTGTGGGGCTGGGGCACAGTTCAGCAATAGGATGTGTGCTTTGCATGCATGTGAGGCCAAGTTCAATGCACAGCGGGGGGAGGGGGCACTTTACTGCGGATCCCCAAGCCTGCACACTCCCGCTGTGCCCAGAGATCCACTCACCCTGTGGAAGTGTGCGTGTGCCAATTTGGGAGGTAAAAAGGATGCAGGGCATTACCCCCTCCAAGGTGCCTTTCTGTGTGCCTCAGTTTACCCCATGTGTGCAATGTGTGTGTCCAAGCCCTGTGAAACTTGGCCCCCAAATTTGGGGCAAAAATACCTGGGACACACATTCAGAATCTCTCCTGGCTCTGACTTTGAGGGGCTTTGAGGTGTAGGTACTGGGGGACTGAAGACCCCCTCCTCCTTGTGGGTGTGGGAGGTAGACTCAGGCAAGCAGGGCTGGGGCTGGGCTTCTGGGGCCTTCCAGGAAGCCCAGGGGGCAGGTGCAAGGGCAGGCAGTCTCCATCGGCAGGGTGCCAGTCCTTGGCTTCCCTGAAACTGGGCACAGCAGCTGGGAGAGGTTTCCGGCCCGCCCAACCCCACCTGGCCCTGGGCACTCTCGAAGATGGGCTGGGCTGGTGGGCGGGTATCCAAGGAACAACCAGGCCCGGCCTGCACATGCCTGTTGCACCAGAGCCACAATGGAACTGTGCACACACATTTGTATGTGTGTGTGTGCATGTGCAGTCCCACGAGCCATGCTGGTGTCAACGCTCGCTGCCCCCTGCACACCAGGCAGGCTCACACTTGTATGTTGAATATTAACACAGACAATGGGGGTGGGCATGTCCACCCACACATTCCACAGAACAGATACTTTTTGCTTTGCTCACTGAGTCTCTAGTGCCCAACAGTCCATGGTTGGTCACTGTTTGTCTAGTGGACAAGTGTGTGAATACATGGACATGTCAGTTTGCAGGTGTCTACAAGTGTCTGTTTTGCACCAGGCACTCGTACATCTGTGGAAAACCAAAAGATCCTTGGAACTGATGTTCTGGACAGGCAGGGAGGGGCGGGGATGAACCACATCTGCACACACCTGTGGATTCCCTGGTGCATTGGTCAGGAAGCAGCTGGCTTCACATGAATTCACTCACCTGCAGAGAGCCAGGTGTCTGCACGCCTCCTCCCGGGTCAGCACACACCATCTCCCTCTTCTCTCCCTTTCTGGTCTCCCCTCCTGAGGCCACAGGGTGTCCAGGCCTGTGTTTGGAGGGCTTCCCAGGCATGGTGAGCCCCACGCCCCTCTCTGTAAATATTTTCCATTATTTCAGATTCTCCTAGGATTTAGACTGTTGCCTGTAGAAAGCTCCAGACAACATACAGTCAGGGCTGGCCAGCTGTGCAGGGTGGGGACCCTTGGAAAGGGGTGCCAGACATCCCCAGAAACCTTCCATTTCACAGTGAGAGAAACTAAGGCCTAGAGAGGGGAGGGTCTTCCTGTGCAGCTGGGGAGGGAGGAGGCAGATCATGAGAAACAGATGCCCTAGCTTTGTCCACATTCCCTGCAGCCAGAACAGCAGGTTCCCAGGGCCACAAGGGTGGGGACAGGAAGGTGGGGGACCCTGCTAGGAGGAGGGGGTGGGGCCAGCAGGGTGGGAGGAGGGGTGTTGCTGAGCCCTGGAGACAGACACAGAGCCAGGCAACATAGAGACATCTACCTGGACAGACAGAGCAAGAGACATGCTCCAGCAGCCACCAGCAAAGACCCAGGCTAGGACATAGTCACATTTGGTCTTCCTGCAGCAGATGCTGTTCCCTTCCTTCAGACGGAAACCCTGCCCTGCTGGCATGTGTGTTTGTGTGTTGTGCAACTGTGTGTTGCATGTGTACATACAGGTGCACGTGCATGTTTTTGCATGAACGTGGGTATATTTGCGTTTGGGGTGTGTTACTGTGTGTCTGTACTTACATGTTGATAGGTGCCCGTGTGCATGCATATATGTGAATTTGTGTTTATATACATGTGCATTGTGTGTGTGCACGTTTTATGGGCTTGTGTGTTCCTGTGTTTGTGGGTTTTAAGGTGTGTGGTTTACTGAATGTGTATTGATGTCCAGGAGAGGGATGCTCCAGGACTCTGGGCGTCCCAGGTATTTATGCCCCCAATTTGGGAACCTAGTTTCATGGGGCTTGGACACACACATCACACATGCACATCCACAACAACGGCAACAATAAGGAGAGCCCTTGTGTTTTTGCTCTTTTGCTAAGTATCAGGCATTTTTTAAAACACCGTACACTTGTTTTTTTTTTTTAAAGATAGGTTTATTAAGGCATAACTCACAAATTGCAAGTTCACACTTTAAAGTGTACAACTTGATGAGTCCTGACCAACGTCCACAGGGAGACCCATCACAGTCAAGATGTGAGGGCTTTCTATGTCCTGCGGTCCCCTCCCTTCCCTTGGTAGTGTGTCCCTTCTGGCACCCACCCTCTGGCCACCACTGACCTGCAGATCAGCCTTTTCCAGAAAGATAAGCAGAATCACAAAGTGAGTAGTCTTGCTTTTCTCCCTTCCTCCCCCTCCCTCTTCCTGCTGAGCTGGGGAAGGAACCCTGCTGGCAGGCATGCTACCAACATGTCACATCCCCAGTCTGTATGCAGCCTCTGAGTCTGTCCTTCAACTCAGCATAATGCATTGGGGACTCTTGATATCGCAAGTATCAAGTTCTTTTTTTATCCTTTAAAAGAAGGGTAAACTTCACATACATTACAAATTCACCTTTTGAAATGTACAGTGCAGTAGTTTTTAACACAGTCACAGGGTTGTGTAGCCTCACCACTGTCTAACACCAGAACATTCCATTACCCCAAAAGGAAACCCCATTCCCAAGGGCAGTAATCACGTGGTCCCCTCCCCCAGCCCTGCACCCACCAGTCCACTTTCTGGGCTGGACGTTTCCTATCAATAGAGTCACACGCTGTGGCCTTTGGGATCTGGTTGGCTCAGCAGACATCTTCAAGGTCGCTCTGTTCCCGGTCACAGTACTTTTTAAAGAGAATTCCATTCCGTCCATCAACCTGGACCTCGGTTTACGGGCTCACCTGAGCACAGAGGTTTGGAAAGTTCTCGGTTTTCCGTGAGGAGGAATAGAAGTGCTATGGGCATCCACGCCAGGTCTTGGTGTGGACCGAAATTCTGATTACTCGTGGATAATTCAGGGCGTGGGCTGCCAGGTCCTCGGGGACTTGATGGGGTAAGTACTATTATTAGACCCATTTTATTTATCAGGAGACTAGCCTGCCACAGGTCTGTCTCTCGCTCACACACACCAGACTGGGCCGCCATCCCTCGCCTAGTCCCTCTAGGACCCGCGCGGGAGCCCAAGGTCCCCTACCCACAGGCAGCACCAAGGTCGTCCTGGACCCCACCCAGCGCGGCGTCCCGCCCCACAGCCCGGGCACCGACAACCGTCGCCGCAGGGGCCTGGAGACCCAGACGCGCTGCAGACACTGCGATTTGTTCATCTTTCCAGCCAACCCGTCTCGTCCTGACGGTAATTAGCTCCCAGACTGGTGGGGAGACATGAACAGCCTCCCCGTCATCGCGACGGCCCCACGCCCACAGGCCACGGGCACCTGCAGGGAGACAGTGTGGGGCCGGGAGAGCAGGGTGTGGGCCGGGTGGTCCCCTTCCCCTCCTCCTCCCAGCCCTGCGCTGTGCGTCCCAGTGGGCTCGTGCCCCGGGGGTCCCGGGCCTGCACACGCAAGCCCGCGAGCTCGTGCAGGCCGACACACGCCGGGCACGCCCCTGCGTCGGTGCAGGCGTGGCGCGCGGGTGTGCACGCGTGGGGTGGGAGAGCGCAGCGCACGCGCACGCGGCTGGAGCGAGGACGCCCCGCCCTCCGCCTGCCCGGGCGCGGGCCGGAAGACCTGCGGCGGCGCGCGCTGGCGTCACGGGTTTCCACGGCCCCCAGCGCGGGGGCCGGGGTTCCCTGGCGCAGGAACGCCCGTGACGGCGGCGCCGGCCTGCGTCGGGCGCGCGGGGGGCTGGACCCGGGCTGCGGTGACGTCAGCCCCTTGCGTTACTGGAGCCGGCCTGCGCGGGAGGGAACTTGGAAAAACGAAAGTGACACTAACTTATTTGTAGTGACAACACGTGCAGAGCGCTTAGGAGGGGGTCTGCCGCGGGCTGAGCGATGTGATTCCTCATTCACGGGGACACTGAGGCCCAGGCACTGCCACCCCTCCAGCGCATGCCTGGCACAGAGTCGTGCTCAGGTCTCATCTCCGCAGGGTGTGGTGACCAGAGGTGCTGCATCCTTTTTCTAGAGCTCTCTGGAATCCAGACCCCCCCACACACCCGCTTGTCACCCTCTCTTCTGCACAGCCAGGCACAGAGAGAGCCTGTGGGTGTCCTGTGCCACCCAGCCAGCCGGGAGCTGAAGCCAGTTCTGTCCACACTGTGGGTCTCGCCCCATCCCTGGCCTCTGTGGTGGCCAGAGGCGGTGCCCGCACCCGAGCTGCCCGGCGGGGTGTGCCCGCCGGCTGCCTTATTGCGGACGCCAAGGCTAACAGACTAAATATAGCCTGGGAGGAGGCTAGAGCTATTTTTAGCCTGGGTAGCCTGGGCCCTCCGGTTTCCCAGGTCGGCAGCCCAGGGCCAGGACCTTGCGTTAGGAAGAAGGGGCGGCTCCACTTTCCGGGGTCCCCACCTCCTCTGGAGCTGGGTAGCCCAGCCAGGCTTTCTGCGCAACCTCCGCACCCCAACGCTGGGAGGAGGGTTGCGGGGAAGGTCAAAGACGGGCCTGGGTGTTGTCTTGGGGAGAGGTGGCCGGCCGCCACCTCGCCACCTCTCCTCAGCCGCCCCTCTCCTGCTGCCAGCCCGCGCTGGCCTTTTGTTGGGCTGGGAGGCTGCCTTCTATTTTGGGAAGGTGCTGGAATAATTTCCCTGGCTATTTTTAGCCAGTTTGGGGATTCCTCCACCCTGGCTGCCCGCCCCGCCTCTCCGCCTCCTCCCTGTCCTCTTGCTCCTCCGGCTGACCGGTGGCTGGCCTCCCACAGAACCGGGCTGGCCGGGACAACCAGCCTGGGGGCAGCCCCAGGGTGGGGAGACCCCCAGATCTCTGGGTAGAGGTAGGGAAGATTTAGAGGGCGTGTCCTTGTTCCAGGTGAGTGAGACGTTCCGGCCTCCGGGAATCCGTGACCTCCGGGAATCCGTGACCGCCTCACACCTGACTTCTGCCTGGGGCCGGGGTGGGGCTCTCAGAGCCTGACCTTTCACCTCCTTCCTGGGTTGTCACGTGTCTGCCTGCTGAGGAAACGTCTTAACCTTGGCACGCATCCCTTGATTGGGGGTTCGGATGGCCCCAGTGGGAAGAGCTGTACCGTGAGGGTAAACTGAGGGCAGAGAGGGTGCTGGGGGCGCCGGGTGGGCTCTCCCTGAGGGTTTCATTCCCATGCACACTCTCCCCCTTAACAGCTGGATAACCTTGGGGCAGCTACTTCAACTCCCTGGGCCTCCTTTCAGGAAACAGGGTGACAGTCACAACCCAGTGAGTCTGCGAATGCACAAGCCCTGGCAGTGGAGGGGCTGGTCCCAGGGAGGTCGCTGAGCCAGGTCTGGCCGCAGCTGAGGGGCCTCCTTCCTCCTCATCTTCTGTGAGGCGGGCAGAGCCTCCCCAGGTTACAGATCAGGAAACCCAAGGCCTGGACTGATTTCAGAGGCCCAGGGTCTCATGACAAATGACACATGGGAGGCCAGGCTCCTGACTTTTTTGGCTCTGACCCACGTTTCCAGAGCTGCCTTTGTGTTCTTCCCGGGCCTTCTGGCACTCACCAGATGTTTTCTGGGTATGTATGAGTGTCCTATGGCTGCAGTAACAAAGCCCCACCAACTCAGTGGCTTCAGATAACATGAATTGATTCTCTTACAATCTGGAGGTCAGAGTCCATAACCGATCTCTCCAGACTAAAAACCAAGAGGTGGGCAGGGCTTGTCCCTCCTGGAAGCTCCAAGGGAGAGTCCTTGTCCTTGTCCCTTTTTCCAGCCCCTAGAGGTGTCCGAATCGCTGAGCTCCTGGCTCCTTCAGTCTCTGATTCTGATCCTCCTGCTCTTACCCTGCCTTGATGTCCTCACTGTGTGTACGTCTAGCTGACCTGCTGAATTTCTGCCTTGCCCTGACACCCTTGACAGGGTTCTGTCCCTCTTCATGTGGGCTTGGCTGAAGCTGGCTGGATAGGAACAGCAAGGCCACCAGACTAGGTCTGACGTCATCATGATCTCATGTGCATGCTAGGTGGCCCCTGCCCTGAGAGTGGACAATACCATGATGGTGACTGGTGAGGTCCACAGTAGGAGCGCAAAGAGGTGGCACCTAGGGTCCAGGGAATCCATGAGCTTCCTCCCCTTTATGAGCCTCTCTCTCCCCTTTTATTTTTTTGCCTACCTCTGAAACCCCCAACTCTTACAGGGCGGGAAGCTGATTTGCAAGTTTATCTCCCACTTCTCCTTTTCTTGGCCAAGAATAAAATTCTCCTGCTCTGCCCAGTCATGCTGGGCCTCATTCCTGGTTCCACAATCTGAGAGGGAAAGGACCCAGCCTTTAGGGTCCAAAATTGCAGCAGATTCTGCACGACGGTCAGGGAGGCTCTGTCTCTTTCAGTCTGGAGGCACGGCCACCTCGGCTCGCGGCCTCCAGCTTCAGAGTCGGTATTTCAGTGTCTCCCAGCCCCTCTCAGAGGGACCCTCTGGCCTCCCTCTATGAAGACCCCATTGTGAAGGGCTTGGGACTTCCAGGAAACTGAGGCAGTGTGAAGACTCCGCCCCACCCCAGAAACACCTGATTCTTGTGATCAAGTCAGAAAGATTTCAGACATGTCACTCAGAGTCCTAGGCCTGAGTTTCTTAAAGAAATAGGAAAAGGGGACCCTCAAGGGAGAGAGCAGTCCCCTCAGAGAGGAGACAGACAGTGTGCTTCTCCTGCACTTCATTTTATTGGGATCCCAGAGAAGTTTCCAGGGCATCCAGGTCCACCTCTTGACTTTTTTTTTTTGTTTTAATTTTTGTAGCTGTAGATGAACAGAATGCCTTTATTTTATTTGTTTATTTTTTTGTAGTGCTGAGGATCGAACCCAGTGCCTCACACATTTGAGGCAAGTGCTCTGCCACTGAGCTACAGCCCCAGGTCCACCTCTTCACTTCTGACTGACAGCAAGATGACATCAGACTTTCAGGTCCCCTCTGCCATGACAACTGTGGGGTGTTTGGGGTGATTCTTAACCACAGATTCTTAGAGATTTTATGGTTAGAAGGAATGATCCTTATCTCCCTGAGTTTTGGGATCTGGTCTGTGAAAAGAGTCACAGAGGTCTCCCCCTTCAGGGTAACCTGGGTTCCTCTTTTCAACACTACTTGGGCCTGCATTTCTCCTGCAGATAATAGGTCGTTTGCCGAGGAATGTGACATGGCCTGTCCACTTAAGCCAGGCAGGGCTGCAGGTAAATTGCTTCTTGGAAAAGAAAGCAGGCAGGTGTCAGCACAGTGGGCCTATTTCATAGAATTATTCCCTTAACCTCGCGTTCCCACCACTCACGTCTGTCTGTCCCCATCACCATGATGAAATTGGCCCCTGGAGAATTCAAGACGATCTCCATCTCAGTGTCCTTAACTTAATCCCATCTGCAAACTCGAACGTTTTTCACAGGTTCTATGGATTAGAAATGGGTGTCTCTGAGTGACCTGAGTCTGCCGCAGCCACCTTCTTTCAGCACCCTGCTGGGCGCTGCCAAGAGGAACAAAGCCCGAGGGGTGCCTGCTGTCTTGCAGCTTCCCTTTGAAGGACTGAGGTCAGCATGGACGTGTGGTCACATAAGGGACAAATGCTTACAAGTAGGCTCCTGAGTAAAATATATTTGAATCTTGAAAAACAAGTAATTTTTGGTGTGCCATGTAATATTTAGAAAATAACATACTAAAAATTTTAATATGCCCATGTAATATTTGAACCACACTAAAAATAGCAGAATATTACTCCAGTGTGAGTAGACCGCGTTATAATTTATCATGGAAGGGATTTAACTGTAGGTAATGAATAAGCTCATGTGCTGGATGAGAGTGGGTGCAGGGCCTGGTGCCGGGGTGCACGCCTGCAATCCCAGCGGCTGGGGAGGCTGAGGCAGGAGCTTAGCAATGGTGAGGTGCTAAGCAACTCCGTGAGATCCTGTCTCTAAATAAAATTCAAAATAGGGCTGGGATGTGGCTCAGTGGTCACTTGAGTGCCCCTGAAGAAAGGAAAGTGGGCGCAGGTACAGAGGCACCCTTCTGGTTCCATTCTATAGCCCCCAGAATACGTAAGGCTCCGCCCCTCTCGCCTGCGGCTGCGCATCCACCTTAGCATCGCGGGCAGTGGACCAATCAGCAGCCGAGTCTTGGGGCCTGGTTCTGAGGTCCCACTCGTCCCCCTCTCCCGGGGCCTTCTGCGCAGCCGCACTGGGCAGAGCCTCACGAGGGGCGGGGCATTGCTTAGGTTTCTCGGGAGAAAGTTCAGTTCCCAGACCCCGCCCCTTCGCCCCTCCAGTGGCCCTTAGGCCACCGGGCTCCCCATCCCTCAGGCGTCCCCAGGCCACATCCCTGACCTCTCAGGCGTCCCTGGGCAGGGTCTGAGGCCAGCCTGGGAGGCAGGCAGAGGTGCCAAGACCCGGCCAGGCCCCTTCGGAGAAAGGGGCCGGGTCCTCTGGCGGCCAGGCCCTGGTTTCGCAGAAAGGAAGCAGGACGCCCTCTGGCCAGCGCGGGCTCTTCGGAGAAAACAGCCGGAAGCCGAGGAAGCGCTGGGCCGGCGGCCGCCTGCAGGAGGGTGGGCTTGTGCGCCTGCAGGGCTCCTGGGCTGCCCCTTCCCCGCGGGGGGCAGCCACCTTTGTAGCTGGCAGCGGATCTCTGTCTTTTAAGACCTGTTTTCGGGGTGCGGGTTGCCTGGGCAGCTGCTGCTTCTGTGCCTGGGGAAGGGTCCAGGAGCAGATGGGATTCCCGGGTAGATGCTCCTGGCGTGCAGAAGAGAGTGAGGGTCGGCATTCCTTGGTGCTGGCCGCCCGGTGGACGTTGAGCACACTGCAGTCTGAAGACCTGGGCCAGTTTCCCTGATGCTCGTGATTGACTTTGTCCTTATTAACTGCCTCTCAGCAGCCTTGCGGCGTCAATCATCTCCCTTTTACAGACCAGGAGATGCGGACGGGACGGAGCCACGCGGCTGGCCGTCCCGGGGCTAGGTTGGTGGCCTTGCCTGTTCCTCTTTTATTTTGCTGCCTCTTGTGCGCAGAACTTCAGGGGCGCTCCGCCCTGCTCCCGCCTCCTCCTCCGCCCTCTGCGACAGTGGGCAGAGGTGGGCCCTGGTCCGGGACCAGCCCAGGCAGCTCTCCCAGGCTGAGGTGTCTTCTGGAGTCTTCTGGAGTAGGGAGCTTCCCAGAGCTGTTCCTCCAGGGTGGACCAGGAAGGAGACTGGGCAAGAGGGGCATCTCCCCCTCACTCTGCTCCCAGCCGAGGCTCCAGAGGTGGCCAGGATGAGGCTGGCAGGGAGACATGACCGCACCGTGTCCTGAGTTGGGGGCTGCTACTGACCAGCAAATTCCCTTGACCCAAGGGATGGGGCTTTGGCTCCCCCATCCCCAGCCAACCTGCTGCGCGTCTTTCTGATGGGCAGCCGCCACTCTGACCCCTGAAACATTAGGACCTGGCCTGAGAACACCTGCTTTCCAGAGGTGGCTCCTGTGGCTCTGGGTGGGGAAGGGCAGGCAGAGCTTTCTGTGCAGGTGCCTGGGGTAGACACTCATCTTTCTCCTCCCTGAAGTCCATTGCTTCCCTGACCTCAGACAGTGTCACCACCACTGGCTGCAGAACCCCACAGCTGCCCAGTCCGGTTCCTCATCTCTAAGGCTGGGTGGAACTGGACCTCGGCGTAGGGGTGGCCTGCAGGGCTGTTGCCTAGGACTGGAAGGGAGAAGTGAGCGGATCAGGACCCTGGACACCTGTGGGCGGCCCGGCCTCTGCCTCGCCCTGGCCGGCCTCCGTGCAGGCGGGACAGCCTGTTGGCTGCTGGGAGCCATTAGCCAAGTAAGTATGACAATTTCCTTGCCAGCGTACCCCATGTTGCAGTGACATTGAATGTAGGTGACCTTGCTCAAGGACCAAGGCGGATTAGGGCGTTCCCGGTTTAGGTTCCAGGTTTAAGGTTTAAGATTATTCCTGCTGGGAATAGGGCGTATCCTGCTGCCTGAGTTCCCCTTGAGTTCTCACGGGATTCAGACAGTATATTTGGGAGATAGAAGCCCAGTGGAGGTGGATTTGGGAAGAGAACGTGGATTTCCCCAGAACGTGATTGTAGACGGCTGGTGTGAGTTCGGGAATAAAGAGTTGCTGTTTGAATCTACAAGCTGTGTGGTGGCTCGTGATTGTGTGCCCAGCCAGACTGCGGCATTTGTGCCCAGCCAGACTGTGGCAGTTGGCAGAGAGGGGGCCTTTCTCAATCTGGGTTTGGAGCTCTTCCCAGAGTGATAAATCCCAGGGAGAAGGAGGGCTCCTCCGAGGCTGGCTCCGAAGGCCTCGCGTCACTCTCTCCACTGAGACCTCCCTGTGACAGGGCGCTGGCCCGCTGTGGCTGGGGCGTCGCTGCTGCCTGGGGCCCCTCCAGGGATCTCTCATGCATCCCTCTGGATCCCTGGGGGAGGCTGAATCCCAGCCTGCCCCCTTGGCTGCCCAGACGCCACACCTGCCCTGGCCAGGAGGGACGGGAACTGGCCGGCAGGAGGGTCTGAGGAGAGGGCAGCTCCCCTGAGGGATGGAAGCTGGTGGCGGGTCCCACGGAGTGCAGACTGACCCAGTCAGGGAGGCCACTGGACCCCCCAGGCCTCGTCATGCCGGGCTTTCTTTGCCCTGCGGGGGCAGCTGTCCATTCTGCGGCGCACAAGCCCTGTCCACACTCCCGTCAGGGCCCACTCGTGCTGCTCCTTGTCGGTCGGCCCCATGGATTCCGGCCTGTGTCCACCAGGACAGCGACGCCCAGGAGCCCTCTGCACTCCTCCTGTTCACCCTCTCCCTTCTCCTCCCCAACCCTGGCAACTACCGACCCCTTGGCCACCATCCTGCCCTTCCTGGGAGGTCTTGAGGTTGAACCGCAGCGGGAGGCCTTCCCGTGGGGTTTGCCTCTTCTGTCTGTCTGTCCACCTGCAGGCCCCTCTGCACTCCTTGCCCGTGGCCTCCCTCCCGCCTTGCTCCAGGCCCCTCCTCTGACCCCGAGTGCTTGCTTCCCCCTGCATGGGTCCTGCGAGGACATGGGGCACCAGCGTAACACAGGACGATTCTCTCAGGTGCTTAATGTCACCTGCTGAGGTCCTGTCACTCCAAGCCGCAGTGCTGGGCTGGGATGCGCAGTCTTTGGGCAGTCTCCCCTCCCACGCTGCCCGCGCTGGTCTGCCCTGGTCTGCCCTGGCGTTCGCAGTGCGCGGGGCATCGCGCTGCGGGCAGCCTGGGTCCGCGGCCGCCTCTCAGGCGCTGGCTGCGCGGGGCTCCTCCTTGCTGTTCCTGCCGCTGACACCTGGGTGGCTCCCGGAAAAGCTCCCCGGAGTTGGCCAGCGCGAGAGGTGTCCCAGGACGCTGCAGCCTCCCCGGGCCCCAAGCACCCCAGTCCCAGGCCCCCCTGCCGAGCGTTGGTCACTCGCTGGACCTTGGGAGAGGCCTCTGCTTCCTTCTGGTGAACTGTGCACAACATCAAGGTGCCCTTCTATCCACAGGCCGCACGGCCCTCCCCACTTGTGTCCAGAATTCTCCTCTCCCCAGCTCTGTCCCCAGACACCAGCCTCTGGCACCGCCCTGGGCCTCCTGCCCGGCCCTGTCCACTCTGAGGTGCCTTATCTGAGACGCTGCATGCTAACTGCTTCAGTCCACTGTGACATGTCTCCGTTGTCCTGGGAGAGATTACACAAAGCCGCTCAGAAAGCCCGAAGGAGGTTTTGGTGGGCGTGTGACCTGTGAGTCACTCGGAGCGTCTGAGGCTGTGCTGTCATCGTCCTGAGATGCTCGTGGTGTTTGGGAAGGGCCCTGCATTTCATTTCCTGTGGAGCCTGTGGACCAGCGGCCACCACTAGATGAGGCCCCGTTGCCTTCTGTGGAGCTTCTCGGTCCAGCTGTGCATGGAGGACATGGGGCACCAGCATGGACTGGACCAGGTCACAGGCACAACCTCCTGCCCCTGGGCATTGGCCCTGCACTCGGCAGACATGCTGGGCAGTGCAGGGTGACCCCTGCTACTGGGGAGCCAGGAGTCTGTCCTCCTCTCGTCCCCACCCACCCGGCCCCAGGGTGCCATCTTGGGGAGTCTGTGGGAACGAGTCCCCAGGTGAGGCCAGCGGCTCACCAAGCCAGGCTGACTCCCCCAGGCCCTCCCACACCTGCCCTCCCCCCGACTCTGCTGTCCAGGTTGACCCCCAAACACGGACCAGCCAGACTCACCCAGGGACAAAGCACACACCCTCCCGCTGGCCCTGCCCCTAGGGAACCCAGGCTGCAGCTGACAGAAAACAGGCCCCGACATCCTCAGGCAGCCCTCACGACCTGCGGATGTCACCTCATGGGACAGAGGGGACGCTACGGGTGGGAGTAAGTCAGGGACGCTGAGATGAGCCCACAGGGTCCTCCTGAGAGGAGGCAGGAGGGTCCGAGTCAGAGCCGGGAGGACGCTGGGCCGCTGGAGGTGACAGCTGCAGTGTGGAGGGACCTGAGGACCTGGTGCTCAGTGAGAGCCAGACACACAGGCCACAGGACACGTCAGGGCAGGCAAGTCCAGGGCAGGACATGTTTGTGGGTACAGGGCTGAGGAGGGGTGCCGCCCTCGACCAGCGCGGGCAGCTGAACTGAAGGTCACTTGAGGGAATCTCCTGGACACCAAGTGAAGCAGACCCCGCTTACCTTAAACGGAGCTCCAGGAGGCTCCCGGCCAAGAGGGCAGGTCACAAGGGCCACGAGTAACGACCCCTGGGCTGCGGGAGGCCACGCCTACGCCCGAAGGCACATTCTGCTACTTGGAGGATCTGGGCATCGTCTTGGGCCACTACGAAAGTGACCAGGTCACTACGAAGGTGACCGACAGAGCCTCTTTCACTCTTGGGAAGGAAATGCTAGTCATTCAGCATGACGGCCCCCCACAGAGGGGACTCCTTTGAGGATGATAGATTGTTCTAGAACTAGATGGTCATGATTTCCTGAGGACTAAATTTTTACTTTTAAATTTGTTTTGGTACCAGGGATTGCACCCAGGGGCACTTAACCACTGAGCCACAACCCCAGCCCTTTTTGTTGTTTTGAGACAGGGCCTTGCTAAATTACTGAGGCTGGCCTTGAACTTCGGATCCTCCTGCCTCGGCCTCCTGAGTTGAAAGGGTGACTTTTACGTTCTGTGATTTTCAGATTTAAAATCATAAACGTTTTGAAGGCTGCACATTCCCGAGTCTATGACTGTAAGTCACAGTGGAATAAATCACGGCTCTCTTGACTGTGCTCCAGGTCAGTGTCATGAATCGCCCACTCTCGGAAGCAGATGTTCCTGGGTTCTCCGCACTTCCTAGGAAGCCCTCACCTCTGGAGGTCCCTGGCAGCAGGGGACAGCCCATATCCCGCCTAGCAGGCGGGGAACCCAACAGCTTTCGTTAATCTGGATGAATTTTGAAGCAAAAGGATATCATTTCAGTCAATTATGAATCCATACTGATTTTCACATTTATTTTTGGTGCTGAAGGTTGAACCCAGAGGTGCTCTACCCCTGGAGCTACCCCTCCAGTTTTATTTTTTTATTTTGAGACAGGGTCTCACTAAGTTGCTGAGACTGCCCTTGAACTTCTGATCCTCCTGCCTCGGCCTCCTGAGTCGCAGCGATCACAGGTCTAGCCACCATGCCTGACTGGTAATGCTTTTGCATGTGTTCCCTGCACACATTCTGGGTCTGTCTATTGGATTCTTAGCATTTTCCTTCTAATTTGTAGGAACTGGTTTTTTATTATGGTAAAATATGCATGATGAAAATTGATATGCAGAGCTCAGAGTGAGGGAGCACAATCACAGGGCTGTGCAGCCATCCCCACCACCACCTCCAGAACTTTCCACCTCCCCACATGAGCTCTGCCCCTTCAGCACTGACCACTGCCCCTCCCAGCCTGACTCCTGCCTGCTGCTTCCTGTCTGTGGATCTGAGACCCCAGGGACCTCTTGGGTGGATGCTGCAGCCTGTGTCCCCTTACAACTGGCTCTCTGCACGGGGTGCCCCGTCCCCAGGTCTGTCCTTGCTGGGGCAGGCGTCAGGCTGTCCCTCCCTCCCAGGCTGAGCGGGGGCCCCCTCCTTGGGAGGGGACACGTGTGCCCACTCAGCTGTGGATGGACATGGGCTCGCTCCCGGTCCTGTGGTTGCGGTCTGCTGTGAAGGCAGGTGCCGTGTGTTCCGGGCCCTGCTCCCCACACCCCCGAGGGCAGCTGCCGTGGCCGCGGTCTCCACTCTGAGCTGCCGCCCGCCTTTGACTGGGAATCCTCTTCAGGTAGTGCAGTGCGCAAGCGTGTGCCACAGAGAAGCTGCTCCCTGCTCAGTGGCCAGAGTGACCTGTTTAGATTGTACGGTTCAGCCTCACTGGTGACGGCGGCTCTCACCCGGCCTCTTGCCCAGGAGTCAGACTTTGGCATTGAGAGTGGGGTCCACGGGTTAGGGAGCGAAGGGCAGGTTGAGGACCTTCCCACCTCCTGCGCCCCGAGGAGAGCGCTGCCCCCCACCCAAACCGGAGCCCCCCCCACCGTGTGCAGGTGTGCAGATCCCTAAATAGCCCCTGCCACAGACTGAAAGCCCCCTGGGGCCCAAGGCCACCTGTGTGTACCCAGCGGTGACAGGAGGGGGATGGCGCGGGGCCCTCACCAGCGTGGCCAGGGAGGGAGCAGGGAGGAGTGGAGCCAGCGGAGAAGCACTGGGGCCTTTATTGAGTGTGAGTCACTCTTGACAAGGGTTCCACATGGTATCAAAACGGGCAGAAGGTGGGTGTGGCACAGCTGGGGTCTTAGAAAGAAACCACCAACGTCCAGGGGCAGGGCGGGTGGAGCTGCTGGGGACGAGGGTCTTTGGGGCATTTGGCAACAGAGTCCCCGACGGGAGGGGCTGGGACCACCCGAGTCCCCAGGCTTTGGGGACTGGGCCTGGGGCGGCCTGGCCAGCCAGGGGGCAGAGCTTTGCCTGGCTGGCCTGTAACTGTCCTGTCCCCGGGCTCCAGCCGGGGTCTGAGGTCCTGTCCTGCCCCGTCCCCCCAGCTGGGGTGGCAGGACTGGGTCAGTTAAGGACCAGCCGGAGGAGCTGGGATGAGCTGCCTGAGGGCCCAGCGTCTGCCTGGAGGAGGCCGCTGCTGGACCATCAAAGGGACAGGGCAGAAAGACAGACAAGCACCTTCTGCCATCTGCCATCCCTGGAGGCCACTTTGTTCTGGGGTCACCTTTGGGGACTGTAGGAGAAGGCGGCATGTCCTAGCTCATTCTGAGATGGCCAGGACCGCTCAGATTCCCCAGGTGGGGACTGGACGCGGATCCTGAGATCAGCGACCCCTCCCTCCAGTGGGGGCCCTCGCTGGCCGGGCACCCTGGAGCAGGCGGGGAGACAGTGCCCGCTGCTCCCAGGCGCCTGCCCTCTGGGTGGGTGGGCCGCGGAGCCTCCTGAGAGCTCCTCCCCTGACACACTCGAGGGACCTGAGGTGACCAGAGAACAGTGCCGGGGACGTGTCCTACAGGGCGCCAGCGGCAGCCCGGCTGCGAGGGAGGCTGCTCCTGGAAGCTCTGGAGAGTCACCTGCAGGGTCAGGAAAGGCCCCGGCTCAGAAGGAAGCTCGGGCTCCTGCCAGTCGCCACCTCCCCGAGGCCCAACCTGTGGGCACCTGGTGACCCGGCTTGGGGACGGGGCAGGGGCACCTGGAGGAGGAGGCGGGCAGATGAGGATGGGCGACCACTCGGGGGCAGCTGACCCTGAGTCAGGCAGCCTGTCCTTCCCTCCAGGCCAGAGCATGTCCCAACCCTGTGAGGCCCTGCAGGGCTGGGCGCTGGGACCCGCTGGCCGAGAAGCCTCAGTGTGGCCGAGCCCGGAGGCCCGGTCAACCCTGACCCTCCGCCCAGGGCGTCCCGCTGCCCAGCCATTCCCTGGGGTCACGGCTGTGGGGCGTCACATGGGCCTGGGCTCGGATTCCCAGTGCCCGTCCTCTGCCCTGGCGGGGCAAGTGGGGGGAACAGGGGTTTGGCCACGGGGGGCTGCCAATGCTGGGGCCAGGGTCTACTGTCCTCCTGGGAGACTGGTGGCTGGGGACCTGGACAGTGGGGACAAAGGAAGAGGCCGGCCATGCAGGGACAGACACCAGCTCCAGGGTTAAGGCTTCTTTTTGAGAGAAATGGGTGAATTGTTCCCGGTGACCCAGGCGGTCAAGCGGGGGCCAGTCTCCCCCAGGAAACAGCCCTGCCCTGCCACCCTCGAGAGGTCGCTCTGGGGCCTCCGCCGCCTACCCCGGCCCTGGCATTCTGGCACTGGCCCTGCCCTTTCCCGCCTCCTGTCGGGTGGGGCAGAGGCCGGCTGTCCTCTTCTGGCCAACCACAGGAGTGTGTGGCAGACCCCAAGCCCCGGCCTCCTGGACCAGCCATAGAGAGCCGGGAGCTGGACAGGCCTGCCCTGCGCCTGTGCCCTCTGGGAGCCGCGAGGAGGTACCCGGAGGGCCGCCCAGGCCCCCCGCCACGTCTCCTGAGCTGTGTCCCACCCAGTGACCTCTCCCTCTGCCCCCGCCCCAGGAGGGGGCTGCCTGGGGAGTCATCTGGAGGCTGCGGGCCCTGCCCCACTGGCCTGCAGGGGCGGCTGGGCGGGGACCGTCCTGGCATCCGCCCCGATGTCTGTCGGGTCACAGGGGCAGCCTGGCTGGTTTTCTTGGCCCGGCTCCGGGGCCCGGGGCCACCAAGGTCCCCGCTGCTTAACACACGGCTCCGGAGTGGCTGCAGGGTTGCAGGAGGGTGCCCAGGGCTCCTCTCCGGCCTGCGCCTGTGACCGTCCTTAGAAAGCCCCGCCCATGACACCCCAAGCTCCCAAGGCCGCGGGGAGGCAGGCCATGGGCCCTACCCTGGGTCTCCCTCCTGCCCACCAAACGTGGAGAGCTGAGCTGCCGCTGCCCCCCCCCCCCCGGGGCCACAGGCCTGGCCTCTGAGGTCACTGGAAGGTGCTTCCCGGGCTCCGTGCCACGGGCTGCACCCACCAGGCCCAGACCCCCAGCCTGCACTTCTGTCTGAAAAATGGCCACGTTGACTGGGGAAATGAGGACGGTCCAGGGAGGGCCACCGAGCAGCACAGTGCCCCACGACCACCCCCCACCTCAGATCCCCAAAGCCTGTCTGTGACGGGTGGGCCCCCAGGGACAGGGTGGGGCCGAGTAGCAAATGCCACACAGGGGGTGACATTTGGCATCACAGGGTGCGTTTCACAGACGAGCCCCTCCCCACCCCGGAAGTCCACCTGTGCATCCTCCCACAGCTCAGCTTGGGTCAGCCATGAGAAGCGGGTTTCAGCGTGGGGAGTGACACTGTTTTAAGTGGAAGGGAGGAATATTGCCCGCAAATCTCATGATGTCAGCCTCGTCCCACCCCAACTTGACCTCCGCTCGTCACACAAGGCGCATCCCGGCAGCCCAGCGTGGACTCTTTGCAGATGCCCCACTTAGAGGGAATTGCTGCCCTCCCGGCCTCCTTGCTGAGCCCGTGACACTGAGGGTCCTGGACAACCGCTGGCCGCGGACTCTGGCTGTGTGTGTTGGCGACAGGCAGGGCTGGGCGTCCGGCGTGGCCTGGAGGGGCCGCCAGCCCAGCACTTCTCAGGGCTCAGGTCTTGGCTGAGCTCGGTGGCTGGTGCGGGCGGCTACAGGATGGTGCAGGGCTTCTTGTCCTTGAAGGGGTTCTCGGAGGCCGGCACGCCCACCAGCAGGGGGTCGGACCTGGCGTGCTGCTCACAGTAGCTCATGAGCTCCGAGGAGGCTTTGGAGACCTGGGTGGGCAGCAGAGAGGGCCGGTCAGGGCCGGCACACGGCCTGGCCACGACACCGGGGAGCCACCCGCAGGGGCCAGGCGGCAGCTGCAGTGAGGGACCCGTGGACCTGGCACTCAGTGAGAGCCAGACACACAGGCCACAGGTGTGCCCCAGTGACAGGAGGGTCCAGGACAGCAGGATCCAGAGACAGGACGTGGGCTGGCAGGTGCAGGGCCCGGAGGGACGGAGGCTGCTTTTGGGGTCAGAGTTCTGGAACTGGACAGGTGACAGCTGCACGACACTGTGAATGAATCCAATGTCACCAAAGGGCTGGGTGCACTCAGCAGAGGAGCATGCCCAGCCTGCGTGGGCCTGGTCCCACCCCGCACGGCAACAGAGAGGAGATCCCAGGGCGAAGTCTACGCGGGGTGACTTGACCCGTTTTACTTTGTTTTTGTACCAGGGATCGACCTCAGGGCCCTGACCACTGAGGTCAGCCCTGTTTTGGATTGTATTCAGAGACAGAGTCTCACTGAGCTGCTTAGTGCCTCACCATTGCTGAGGCTGGCTTTGAACTGAGATCCTCCTGCCTCAGCCTCCCGAGCCCCTCATCCGGCTTTTTACCACATTAAAAAAAAAAAAAGATTAAAAATAATCATAACAAATAAAGAGCTGAGCATCCATAGGCAGGACTGGGCTTTGAACAGAGGGACCAGGGGAGATGGGCCTCTGGATTCAGGAGACACTTAGGCCACCCAGGGAAGGACCTCGTGGCGTTGGCACGACCCAGTGGGTCCTGTGGGTCCTTTCTGAATTGTATCTTTCTGTTGCAGCCTGAAGCCCCTGGGGCCTCGGTGACCCTGATGGGGCTGGCCCTTCTGGTCACTGGGGGGACCTGCCCCGAGGCCACACTCCCTGTTTCCCTGTCTGCTTCACTGTGCCCACCCAGCAGGGCTGCAAGGCTGGGCTGCAGGTGTCCTGACCAGGTCCCCAGGATGACGTCCGTCTCTCCTGGATCTCAGCCTGGTGGTGCTGTGTCTTCCTGGGACCCGGGGACCTCCCCAGGCTCTTTTTCTTCTTTTTTTAAACAATTGCTGTGTGTTTGGTCCTGAGGATTGAACTCGGGGGAGCTGAACCACTGAGCCGCACTCAGCCCTTTAGAGTTTCTGAGATGGGCTCTTGCTAAGTTGCTGAGGCTGGCCTTGAACTTGCCATCCTCCTGCCTCAGCCTCCAGAGTCACTGGGGTGACAGTTCTGCGCCCCTGCACCCAGCTTGCAACCTCTGGTTTCTGTCCGGGATGCCTTCAGCCTATTCTCCGTCCTCGCCTATCCTGGGACCCGGAGAATGCCTGAGCCCCGTCCCCGGGAGCCTGCTGGGCTCCGCCAAGCTGCCCAGCGGGAAGCTCCTGCCCACAGACAGTGACAATCGCCACTCTAGGAGCACGGTGGCTGCGGGTCCACCGCCCCAGACGTCCGGTCAGAGAGCCAACCCCAGCACCCAAAATGGACTCCAGACCCTGCAGAGCTGGTGCGTGGCCGCAGCAGGAGGGTGCCCCTCGGCCCCGGGGGTGCTGGGCCGGCTGGGCCCCGGGTCTGCTGCCAGGACTCTGCAGTCTGTCCCAGCTCCGGGGGCTGGGCAGCCGCAGGCAGGACGGGGAACAGGCGCCCCTGCCGCGGCTTTCAAAGGGGCACTGGACTCCGTCAGTACCTCGGCCAGCTGGGTGCTCTCCTCTTGGCCCCGGGGAAGGCTCTGATGCTCAGGTCAGTCCTTGCGGGGGGACTCTGGGACTCAGACGCCCGTGGGAGGTGTCCCTGACCTCCTAGCTGGATCCAGGCTGGCGCAAGGACCCTGGGGCTGTCTCCAACTGCCCCTCCGCCTGGCCAGCAGGTAGTCTGTGTGTCCCCCGGGGAGCCCTGGGCCAGCCACCTTCCCCATGAATTCCCAGGCCTGGGGGACTCCATGGTGGTCAGAGCAGCGGTCCGCCTGGCCAGCCCTGGGCCCGCGGCTGGTCAACACTAGATGTTGCTACGAGGTTCCTACACGTGAGGAGCTCTTGCTGTGTGGGCCACTGACCTCTGAGCCGCACCCCGCCCCTTTTATTTTATTTTGAGACAATCTTCTAAGTTGCTGGGGCTGGCCTGGAACTTGTGATCCCCCTGCCTCGGCCTCCCGAGCGGCCGGGATGGCAGGTGAAGCCACCGCGCCTGCTCTGATGATCCTTCTTGTCGTTGACGCTGAGGGAAGCAGGGGACCCTCCGTGGTGAGGGTGGGCCTTGGCCCGGCTGGAGCCCCGGGAAGGGTCCGGCCCCAGACCTCCCTCCCGGAGCGCCAGCCCCGAGCTCTGGCCTGGCCGCCCACCCACGGGGCCGGCTCCTCACAGCCGTCTGAGGGCACCACACAGGCAGCCGGGCACTGCTGACTGCAGGACGCCGCTGACACACGTGTCCTTACAGCGTCATCCTGCAGGATCCGAGACCTCGCGAGACCCCAGGCGGAGGCAGGCGGGGTCTGGCTGCTGGCCCTGCTCTGGCTAGTGCAGCGGGCGGCTGCAGCTGACCCTCCGGGGCCATGCTGGCCACAGGGCCTGTGTCCCGTCAGGCCTTTGGGAAGTGCCCCACAGTGCTCTCTGCAAGGGGGACGCAGTTTGGGAGCAGGCGCCCTGAGAACTGCCACTGTCCACCTGTCGGCCAGCAGGGCCACGGTCGGCCACCGGGAGGCGTGGGCGTGAAATCCACCTGATGCACTCCCCACCCGGAGCGTCCCCACCAGGCAGGAGCCGGGTGACAGCACAGGGCTGGTGGCCGAGACCCAGGGCTCAGTGAGAGCACAGGCCACAGCGTGACCAGTGACAGCAGAGGCCAGAGGCCGGATGTGGACCTGTGGGTGCAGGGCTGGGAGGGGACAGGGGCTGCACGTGGGGACAGGCTCCAGATGTCCTGGAACTGGACAGTGGCAGCTGTGGCCTGTCCTGTGGCCACACCAATGGCCACTGAGTTGTGCCCCGGGGACGGAGCAGAGTCCGCCCGGCGGACAGGCCTGGACACCCCGCTCTGCTGTGGCGTTCCGCGGCTGAGCCTGGGACCGGCTGCAAGGTCCTGCTCCTCCCTTAGAGGAATGGCAAAGCTTCCCCAGAAGCAGAACTCACACGGCCAGCGGGGTGCCCGCCTGCTGGGGGGCCGCCTGCCGCCTGTCCCGTCCCATGGCCGTCCACAGCCGCGGACGCCACGTCTTCACAGTCACATCTGCTGCTCTTTCTGCTGTGAAATGGAAGCTCAGAGACCTGGAGTGTGTGGCCCAAGGTCACACAGCCAGACGCAGGGGCAGAGCAGACCTCCACCCCCTGCTGGGCCCGGGGGCCACACCACCAGCTGGGGTGTCCCTTGTCCCTGGCTCACCTTGATGCGCTCGATCCCGGCTTCGATGCGTAGCTGCTCCACCAGCTTGCGGGCCTGCGCTGTGTTGTTGGTGGCTGACATCGTCTGCCATCAGCCTGGGCCAACGTCCAGGAGCTGTGGGGACACAGGGACATGAGCCAGCTGGCCACACCCAGGGAGGAGAGGCAGGAGCCCCTCCCAGAAGGCTGCCCACTGCTCCCTGCAGAAGAGCTGTCACGGAGGAGGGACACCGTGGGGACAGGGTCAGGCTTTTCTCTGACCTCTGCCCTGCTCCGGGGACCCCTGGGCTCTGTGGACATGGCGGGTCCTCCTCGGGGCCTCCTGGCCCAGCAGGTGCTGCCTCCACCCTCGGGCACAGCTTCCCAGCTGTGACCAGGCGTCCCTAGTCAGCAGAGTGGCCCTGGGGGCAGGAGGTCCCTGGGCCTGCTCCCCCTCCCCCCTTCCCTCAGCGAACCCCACAGGGAACTGAGCCTCCCCAGGGCGCAGCACTGGACGGCTGACCCCGCCTGTCCTGGAGCCCCATGGGGAAGGCCCAGGTGGGGAAGGGAGGGCTGGCTCTTCCCGGAAGGTGGCCCCGGTGCTGGGCTCCACCAGCAGCTCCAGGCACCAGCTGAGGTCCCCGGCTGGAGGGTCCACTCAGCTCTGCAGGGACGGCCGGGCTTGGCACAGGGCCTGTGTGAAAGGTCCTGCTAGTGTCCTGGGTCTGCGGCCCCAGCTGGCCCCAGGGGCTGCCCCCGCTGGTCCTGGAGCCTGGAGCGAGCACCCCGCCCCAGGCCCAGCTGTGGCTGTAGTCTCTGCCGCTCTTCATGGGGCCATCTCCAGGGACTCCTGCCCCAGGGACGCCTGTCACTGCACAGGCCACTCTCCTGTGCCCCCTTCTGATGACATTGGCAAACGCCTGATTCCAAATGAGGTCCCACTGGGGGGCATGTTGGGGGGACACTGGTCACCCCAGGATGGCCCCCTTGAGGGAGGGGCCTTTCGCCTGAAAGAAGACCCTGGTGAAGCCACCTCAGCCTCCCCAGGGAACCTCAGCCAACCAGCTCAGGGTTGTCCACAGGCTGTCCCCACTGCACCCAACCACACCTGTCTACCTGGCACCAGCCCTGCATCCCTAGGAACCATAGGGATGTATTATAGAAGGGACAGGAGGGAGGGGGAGGGAGGGGAGAGGGAGGGAGGGGGAGGGGGAGGGGGAGGAGGAGGGAGGGGGAGGAGGGGGGGGAGGGGGAGGGGGGAGGAGGAGGGAGGGGAGAGGGAGGGGAGGGGGAGGGAGGAGGGAGGGGGAGGGGGAGGGAGGGGGAGAGGGAGGGGGAGGGAGAGGGAGGGGGAGGTAGGGGGAGGGAGAGGGAAGGAGGGAAATGGAGAGAGGGAGGGAGAGGGAAGGAAGGAGGGGGAGGGAGGGAGAGGGAGGGAGAGGGAAAGAGAGGGGGGGAGGAGGGGGAGGGAGAGGGAAAGAGAGGGGGGGAGGAGGGGGAGGGAGGGAGAGGGGGGGGGGAGGGGGAGGGAGGGAGAGGGAGGGAGGAGGAAGAGAAGGAGAGGGAGAGGGAAGGAGGGACAGGGAGGGAGGGGGCGGTGGCTCTGGGCCCAGGGGCTTTGCTGCCTGCTGAGGTCAGTCCTTCACGTTACCGGGTTCTGCTGGTGGGGCCCTGGGCGGTCAGTTTTCTCTCCCCACACACTTCTGTTCTCTCTCCTCTTCCTTATTCAGAGGCGCTGGGGATGGCACCCAGGTCCTCACGCAGCCAGGCAAGCTCTGCCCCTGAGCTGCACCCAGCCTTCTGTGTCATTCATGAGTCTCACTGTGCCCAACAACCGAGCCGCACCCAGCCTTCATCTTTATTGTCATTTTCGTGGTGCTGCGAATCCAACTCAGGTGCTCAGGAGGCCAGGCAAGCCCCGCCACTGAGTACCCCAACCTCACCGGGTTCTCTTCCATTCTGTGACGGGGCTTGCTAAGTTGCTGAGGCTGGCCTTGAACTTGCCGTCCTCCTGCCTCAGCCTCCCCAGCCGCTGGGATCTCAGGTGTGGCCACTGTGCCCAAGTCCTCATTTTAAAATCATATTGGTAATTTTGTGCTCATTGGGTTTTACGTGCAATTTTAAGTGATGCCAGAGCCGGTCTCTGTCCCCTTGCGGAGACAGTGGGTCCCCACCCACATTCCTTCTGGCCAGCTCTCCTGGCCGTCACTCCCTGAGGGTGGCCTGGACACAGTGCAGATCCTTTGCCCCGTAGGATGGTCCTCCCAGGCTGGCCTTCACCCTCACCCTCCCGGCCCAGCTGCGTCCCCAACATCTGGAAAACGCTACTTTCTTCTTTCCCACACTTCCTCCATCTCAGGACACTGTGTGAGGGGAAGGAACATCTGGAGTGTGGCCTTTTGGGACTGGCGCCCCCAGGCTGCTCACTTACAGTGCTGAGTAGTACTCCACTGCACAGCAGACCAGGGGCCAGCACCCCCTGTGGAGGACCTCTGTGCTGGGATGAGACTCCTGGGTGCTGAGGCCACCCCCAGCCCTGGGTCTGCCCCTTGCCTGTCCTGAGTAAAGCTGCGTGACATCTGTGTGGTGCCCACAAACATCTCTGCGCCTCTGAGACAGACGCCGAGGAGTGGAATCACTGGGCCACGCGGTGAATGTGTGGGTGTTTTTTTTTAAGAAACTGCCCAAGTGTCTTCCAGGGTGGCTGGTCATGCCCTTTGGTGGTCCCCCAGCTGCGGGGACACCGGCTCAGTCTCCGATCTGGGAACACCCGTCGCCTGTTTATTTACGCAGCAAAAATCCCACTTTTCCATCCAATTGTGGTTTGGTAAGCGCTGACCTAGGGGTCTCAGCAGCAGGGTGAATCTGTCCCAGGACCACGGGGCCACACCTGGGGACAGCGTGGTGTCACACTGCGGTGTCCTGCCTGCAGTCAGTGGGGCTGGGATGCTGCTCAGCACCCCCAGGACTCACGACCCATCCCAGATGTCCCTGCTGTCGGTGGGAGCGGGCACCACAGGGCCTGTGGGTGGGCGCCCCTGGGTGCTGGGCATCGAGGCCAGCTCCATCCCGCCCACTTCCCCTGGGCAGACACTGGCCAGGTGGCTGAGCGAGGCCAGGAGGCTGTTCCCAAGTGAAGGCATCTCCAGGTTCCCAGAAATTCCCACCCACAGAGACTCCGGGGTGGGGGGTGGGGGAGGGAGAGCCCGGCCCCGCTCTTCGTGTGTTTGTGTGTGTGTGTGTGTGCGTGTGCATGAGTGTGTGCACACAGTGGCCACTCCTTCGAGCACGCGCGCACACACACAGACGTCTGTGCCCCTGCACCTGCAGCGCCTCGGCAGGCGGCCAGGGCCAGGGCACGGCCAGGCAGCTGCTGTAGGAGGGAGAAGGGCGCGCTTGCGGTGCCCAGGACACGCACGGCCACACCTGGTGACACAACCACACACCACACACTCCCAGGAGGCACAGGCCGCCCCTGGCTCTGCTGGACGCCCCTGGTGGCTCTGCCCAGCGGCTGCCCGGGGGCGACAGGCCTCCCTCCAAGGCTCTGCTGTCAGGGGGACGTGTGACCCTGGGGCAGTGCGGCCTCCCTGGTCTGGGGCTCTGGTGTGGGCCTGCTGCTGCATGACGCCCTGGGTCAGCCCACAGGTCCCCAGCTGCAGGCCTTAGCACTGCCCTCCCTGAGCCGGGCCTGCGGCTGTGGCTCCCGAGGCCCCCTCTGGACTGGCCAGCACTCCAGCAGGCTGCACCCTGTGTGTGCGAGGGCGAGTGTGCACGTGGCCCCAGGCATCTGCCCCTGTGCGTGCGCTTATGGGCGTGACGTGAGCGCGTGGCACGAGTGCCGTGTGCACAGCATCTGTGTGTGTGCGTGGCAGGTCTGTACACGGTCAGAGCGGGTCAGCGCGCTCGTGTGCACACACATGGACGCCTGTGTCCCTGCACCGTACACCTGAGGTGTGACTCAGACGCCTGCATCACGGCCATGCACGCCGCCCCTCCTGACTGCCCGCTGCGGCTGGTGTCACCGGCCACCCCTGACTCAGGGCAGCCATGCCCCCAGGGATGGGCACGTGTAGCCTGAGTCAGCAGGCGCGTTCCTCACCAGCTGCCTGGCCCAGGCACATGATGGCCGGGCAGCAACCTGGCCAGGCCTGCCTGGGCCTGGTGGAGTCTCTGAGGGCCCCAGCAGTGGGCAGGGCCTCAGGGCCGGTGGGAAGGGTGGAGCGGGGGCCACGGGGCCTGGCCAGGGGTCAGCAGGGGTGCAGGCTCCTGACTGTGGCCTCCGCCTGCCCGACAGGCACGCTCAGACTCCCACAACCCAGGGCCGCTCTCTAAAAGTAAGGCTCTAACCAGCGCTGCTGCCCGGGGCTGGCCTCGGGGCAAAGGGCGGGGGAGCCGCACCCCTCAGGCCTCCACGGAAAGGCCAGGTGCCCGCCCAGGGCCCTGACCACCTAGAGCAGCAGACCCGGCCCGGACCCCAGGCCCAAGCTCACGGGGCGGGGTCAGGGCCAGCAGCACGCAGCCCCTTGGGCCCTGGGGGGTAGAGGGGCCTGTGGGCCTGGCCGGTCATGGTCCAGGGGCGGCAGGTTGCTTTGGGGCTGAGCAGTGTCCCTGGCCTCCACCCACAGACAGGACCCCCGTCCCCACTGAAGTTTCCCACGGAGCTGCAGAAAGAAAATGTGGGGCCCAGACCAGGCCCCCACGACTCCGTCACTGAGAAGCTACGCTGGAGCCACCGCGCTCCAGGCCAGCAGGGGTCCCGGGTGGACATGCGCCAGCACTACGGAGCACCAAGGCAGCGGCCGGGACATGGCGCGGCCAGCACCACAGGGGCCCTCTGCACTGCTGACCAGAGGCTGAGGAAGATGGACGCAGCAGGCCAGAGGCCCGTCCCTCCGGCCCCCCGCGCCCGAGCTCACCAGCTGGCCATCCCCCATCCCGCTGCAGCAGGGCCGCGCTGGCCTCCCTGGTCTCGCACAGTGACCTTGTCTCTGCTGTCCGTTCCGGGGTGGACCCCAGGGGCAAAATCAAAACCAGAGGCTTCCTGGAAGGTGCAGGGCCGGGCACCCAGCAGGTGCTAGCACGGCGGGCAGGACGGAGCACAGCGTGCGGCCACCTTGGGGACGGAGGCCCTGC